GTTATTATAATTTTTTATATATGTATAAATATTAAATTATTGCTCTCATATGCGCTCTGTACATCTATAAAGCTACTTAAAATATCGTTCGCTCATCAAGCGAGTCGAATTGGCAGGCCCAAATAATTGTCGAGAGTATACTATCAAATAATTTCTCGCTCGAAAGCGAAAATCCAACAAGCAGATGCTTCCTATTACGAAGAATGGCAATGCGTAAAACGTTATATGATATTCACGGCGTTCATAAAGACACGTTGAGGTTGAGGAATGGAAAATCGCGACCGAGATTTCGAACTTGAGCTCGACAATTTATCTATTTGTCAGCAGCTGCAGGATTTTTTGGAGCTTGTCGGCGATTGACTTAACGCGAATCGCTCACCATCCGTTTGGTCTTGAGAGCCATTGCCTCTCATAACTTGATCGTTCTGAAGTATCTGAAGTAAATAAATTTTACAATCACACTATTACAATCACGTGACAACAGCAATCGTTTGATCGCAAATGTAATATACAGATGTACAGAAAGATGCTAATTGGTTTCACGTTGTAATTATGTAATTAATCATGCATCATAAGTCGATCATCTCGATACGAAAGACGTCAATGACTAATCCGTCGTGCGTCACGGACAGGGGAAGATATTATATATACATATACATATATACATACGGAATCTTTACTATTATATTATAAAAATTTTATTTTCAAGCTTAAAACAATTTATTTTATTAAATAATAAATTATTCATATTGCATATTCATTTTAAATAGAACTTTTTCTAGATTTCTCGCGCGTTTTAATTCGAAAGGTATATTACTTACTTTATTGACGAGAAATCTAGCTGCTTCCTCGATATTAATATTCTCCTTCGCCGAGGTTTCAAACCAGCCGGAGAAGTTCTTCTCTTTACAGTATTCGTCCATCTTGGTGGGCGAGTTAACCAGACCTTCCTTCTGCTGGTCGCATTTATTCGCCAACAAAACGCACGGTATCGATGATCCGTCAGGAAGTTGTACCTTTGAATCGAGGTCCTGTTTCCATTTCACCACCGCGTCCAACGTTGCGCTTCTCGTCACGTCGAACACTATGAAAGCACCTACAGCTTCCTTGTAGTAAACTCTAGTCATATTTCCGAATCTCTCTTGACCTGAATAAAACAAAATCATTACATGTACAAATCAGTTAAACTTATCAAATGATAAATTGATGTTATATGAAATGTTAGACGCGATAATAACCCAAGCATAATTTAAACTAGCAATCGTACAAGTTTACAGAGAAATATTCAAGATATCTGAAGCATTTTTCGAGTGAGCATCGAAAAACAAGAAGATAAAAGCATGTGTGACGCGCGTGGAATATTAAAATGTCAATTTATCTTTCACAAACGAGTATTATGTTCCATTGTATCGAAGCTAATAAGAAGCGTTATAAGTTATTACTGACCTGCGATATCCCATAATTGCAGTCTAATAATGGTATGTGGATCCCAGTTTAGCACTTTGAGCGCAAAGTCGACGCCAATCGTCGCCCGATAATGTTGCGAAAAAAATTGGTGGACGTATCGCTTGATGATAGACGTTTTCCCCGCCCCGAGCTCGCCGATTACTAATATTTTGTATAAGTGCTCCCGTTTCTCGTCTACTCCGAGATTCGATGCATTATTCGACGACGACTGAAACAGTAAAACAAAATATAATAAATATTGGAATGTAAAAATTTCTTTTTCAAAAAATAACATCTTTTTCTAAAAATTTCGGGATACACATCGCTCTTGATCTCTCCATTTTTATAAGTAGTATATTAATTCGATGGATAATAGCAGGTTTTAAGTACGTTAAATTTTATTATTTTTGTGATCATGAAGAGAAAATACATAATATTAATCACAAATCTTATACAAAGATAATTTTATAAGCGCAAATATACTTGAGTTACATGAACTTTCAACCACTTCCACTCTTTTGGTTGTACTTTCCACTTGCCGAGATCGAACGTTTCTAAATTTCGCCAAATTTTTAATTCCACATCCATATTCACGCGCGACTTTCCGGGCGCTAGAGATGATAATAAATGCTCTTACGCTCTTCGCGAATGATCTTACTGGTATAACTCACGCGAGAGAAATGAGCTGAGTCGCTCACGTGTGGAAAGATTATCCCCGAGTATGCAGACCGCATCTGGGGTGCCGCAAGAAAGCTATAAATACAACAATAAGCCTCCTGCATCTTAATAATTGTATCGACGATTTAAGTAATCGGTCGAAAAGTGCAAATCCCCTTTTGCAATTTCTATTTTGCTTATAATGACGATTCTTTGAAAAGTAAATTTGAATTTAATGATTGTTTTTATATTTGTAATTTTCTCTGTTTCCATCAACTTCACGATATTTTGTGCATCCATATACAATTTTTCTGTTATTCATAATTTTAAATATAAGCGCAGTTTGTGATAGACCATGACAAGCCACATAATTCGAAACTCTGTAATCACGAAATTCAAAGGGATAGAAAGCGAATCAGTATCAGAAAGTTATCGAAAACGGCTATCACGATACCTGTCTACGTTATAATATCTAATCTAATGCATTCAATATATACATAATAAGAGTATTAAGTCGATTCATAAAGTATTTCTTGAATGGATATAAAGCATTTCAATAAATGAATATACATACGTACATATATACATATATGTATATAAACATGATAAAAATATATTTTTGTTCGTATTGGAGTTTCTTGAAAAAAAAACTTAAAAATAATTTAGAGTTGAGTTTTTTCCCTTAATAGTGTGTGTGTGTATCAATTATATAAAATTTTACTTATTAGATTATAATTGCAAATATGGAATGATCTACGCTATCATATTACCAACACGATGAAGCTGTGTCATACACTGGCATAATACTCCTTTCATCGTGTTTCGTAATTCGATATATTTCTCGTAATGCATCGCAAAATCGAGATATAGCGTTAACGGAGAACGATTCTACCGGCGACGTCGTTTGCGATGGACCTCACCTGGCCAGCAACGGCTCCCACCATAGCGGAATGAGATTTGCTGAGATGATCATCCATACTATTGTAGCTTTCCGTGTAATCTTCCTCGATGCTACCCAGGTAACCCAATCCCGTTTCCTCGTCAAGGGCACTTTCAAAAGTAGAGAATGTGTCGAAAGTTTTCACGCTAATCTGCCGGGCCTTTCTCTTCTTTCGTTCCTCTTCTCGCTGCTCAAAAAATTCCTTATCGATGGTGCTTGATGGCTCGTCGTCGATTGTCAAACTGCTAACGGTGAGCACCGCGTCTTTTGCATGAGTATCCTTGGACAAAGAATCGAAGAAGCGTCGCTGAAATATCGCTCGTTTCTCCTCCAGTAAGGACAGCTTGCGGCGTACCTCGACGGGTGACGATTTCGACGTCATACGTAGATCCGAGGAATCCGAATCGGATCTCGCTCTCGTCTTGCCTGTCTTGACCGCAGCATCCTCCGCGAGCTTTGTCTTGCTACGTTCCGGCCAGCTCGACAACGCGTAAGGAAGCGTCGAACAGCATTGCAAGTCGGAACGCGAGACTTTATCTTGCTCCTCTTGCTGCGAATGTTGTGCGGTGTCTATGCAAGAGCGAGGAATATGAAAGAAATTCGCGATTGTTATTGAGAAGACGATTATCGTATGTCGATTTTTTTCGAGCAATTTTAAATAGTTTTCGGCAATTATAATATTATTTTACTGTCGCAAATAATTGTAATACGTTCTAAGTAAATTATTGCGAGAAAATTGAATATAAAACAGAATGAAAAAGAAAAGATAAGAGAGCGACGCGTTCAAAACGTATAAAAAAAAAAAAAAATAAAAAATAAAAATTTAAAGAAATATATCAGAATTCATTAAAACACGATGTGAAAGTAACACAATGAAGGAGTTGATCGTTAAAAATTGAAAACTGCGAATTCAATTTTTCAGTTGCAATTTGCAGATTTTATCCGTAAGCCCCATGGTATCCGTACAAGGCTCACCGTGTTGAGCAAAGCTCTTGATGGTTATCAACGGCGTTGTATGTTGCACTACGGTGACGGTCTTTGACGGTTTCTCGAGCAGCTTTTCTGGTTTCTTAAGCTCCCCCTTTACTGTCTTTTCCCTCCCCGGGACGTTGTCGTCCCCCTGCCCCTGCTTCTTGATCGACTCGTTCGGGTGAACGGGCGATTCTTGTGGGGACTGGCTCTGGGAGCGGCTACTGTCGCCACCCTCCGGGGTATGTCGTGCTTCTTGCTGTTCCGAGGACAGGCGAAATTTATTAAAGCTCAGTTTGCGCATCAGCGAGTGCGACTTCTTCTTTTTCTTCTTCTTCAAGATCGCGGATATCGGTTTCGGTTCCTCGAGCTGTTGCGATTGCTGCCGAGATATCTCTGAAGCGGAAGAGGATCGCGAATCAAGAAAAATAGCCCAGCTTCTCGAACATTATTATTCTCGGATATAAATAAAGAAAATCTTCGGAAACGTTTTATTTTAATCGCTTTTTAAGATAAATAATATTTTTTTTTTTTTAATCAAGAGAGATCAAAAATTAAAAAGTTCGAAAGATAAATTGCAAAAAGATATCGTAAATAATTTTTTGTGCGTGATACGAAGCGTAAAGTTTTTATCGAGTATGCCGGCATTAACCTTTGTCATTCCTTATTTCGAGCTTCCTCAAGGAAGTTTTGTCACCCTGTTCCGTGTCCGCTCCACAGGACGGTTCGGTCTCGCGCGGTTTCTTCTTGATCTTAAATATACGACCCTCGCGGAAGCTGCTCTTGAGCGTACCGAATTTGCCTTGCTTTCGATCGTCTGTGCTAATGTTGGAGAAGAGGGTCGCGCCGCTGCTACTGGTCAGGGTATCGAGACTGGAGTTACTGTCACCCGCAGTGACATATTCGCCAGAAGTGCCAGTCGCGCTAGGCTTCTGCTTCTCCTCGTCCGACGAGAAGCGCGCGATTATTGTGTCGGTCGAGCTATCACCTTCTTTCGTGCTCTCGTTGTGAGCCATAATCGCGTCGCGGAAAGGAAAGGAGAAGACGAGAGGAGAGAATTCGCGTGTGTGGGGACCGATGAATAGACGATGAAAGAAAGGAACGATAGATCAAAGGGATATCTCTTCGCCTCAGAGAAGTCTCTTTCTTTTTCCGTTTCTTCTGTCTCACTTTACTGACCACTGCTTGGCTTCTTTAGCCGCTTGCGGAAACCTTAGAATAGCGCACCGGTTTCGATCGGTCGCGAATGGATAATCCGTCTTGTCTTTCCCCTCTTCTCGTCTCTCTAGGTAGAGATTCTTTCGTTGCGAGCGGCAGAATGACGGAGAGAAATGGAGAAGCCTGAGAGCCAGATGAAATTTCTGATCTCGTAATTATCAAATTATTTGAATTAATTATCGGAATGTCAACGATATGCGATAGATTCCATTCGAAGATATAAAAGTGGCGGAAAAGTAGATTCCTTAGCTAATTTGCTTTTCTCGCATTTATAAGATATTGAATAGGCATTTCAAATAATTTAAAAATAATAATATAAAAAAGACTAAAGGATTTTAGATAATTTCCAGAAATTTGTTTATAATACATTACGATTATACAATATTTGTTCTTCCCTTGCATTGCATTAACCACTACATTAACATGTGTGACACAAACCACTTTGCACTAATTAAAATATTGAATTTCAGGAAACATACTCTGATAGAGAGATTTTAACGATTTATAATATAATAAAAAAGATTTTTTAAATATTTATTGTATTAATAGAAAGCTAGAACTATATAAGTGACCGAAGAAACTGCAAGCCCAACGGTGTCTTGAACTGCACTAAATGTTTATATAAAAATGTGAGAAGCCAAAGAGGGTGGGGCATGCAAGTATCCCCCACCAAACGAGTAATATGCGTATGAGTGCGTACCCGGTGTGTCGCCTTCTTTTCAGCGTATAAAAAATATACGTGTACACGTATGTACATATATATGTATACATATGTAAACCACTAGATATCTATATGCACTTTGCACGTACGTAATCTGCCTTTAACGTGTAAATACGTGGACCGTGTACGTGTATCTCATACGATATCATCCGTTTCAGATGGATTTCGCTCGTATATGAGTACGTGGCTCGCCACAAGTTCCTTTTTAGCAACATCTTTTAGGTGTTAGACTACACTACTGCACAACAGACATATTACGTAAAATCTGCTATACGATAGTGCAATGATAAGCGTAAACAGTGTAAATATGAGAGAATTAATTGGAATACACTTATATGCGATGAAATAATGCGTTGCGAAATAGCACTCGCAAGTTTCATCATGAATTTATCTTCCGGAAATCATTCTGCGCATCCGTAAAAAATTTCTAAACAGTACTCGCGTTCCAACCGAGCAGCTCAATATATTGATACGATAGAAACGTCGGAGAGAGATGGCCGCTTTTTGATTCTGATTTTGAATTCGCGTCGAACGATTATAAAGCATCCGATAGAATTTATGCATCTCTCACAGACGCATTTAATCCTCTAATTAAGTCGGGTCCTCTTGCATTGTTATTTTAACATTTAATTAGCCGAGTGTGTGGTGGATTAAACCGCTGAAGAAATAATGCAGTAATATGCCGTTAATGCAAAGATTAGAGCGAACTTTTTAACTCGTAATCTTAATTGGCGATTATGCGATTATGTGTGCATCGTTTTAGTATATCATTAGTTTATTTTAGTATTTTAGTTCTTCTTCTGAATCGTATGTAATATATCTGCATATTTCTCAAAATTACCATATTAATTTTTAAGTTTCAACGATCTTGATTATATTATTTTTTTATTTATGATTAGATCTTTATTTAAATTATTATATAAAATAATAGAAGCACAACAAACGAATTTCGATAAATATGAGAATATAAAATATATTTTCCCAGGAATAAGTTTTATATTTAAAATAATAATATAGTTGATAATTATTCGCACAATAGAGTCGTAATAAGTTTTTTTATTCATATCTCCTTATCTGCAATTAAATAATAAGGATATCGTCCGTAGTTAATGTGCGTGAAATGAGTCATACATGCCTTCGCAGTATAATGACTCCAAACAATCGTACAGTGAAAATCATCAAGCGTGATTCCTAGATCGATGATCATCGTCGATTATAGTCATATAAGCCATAATTTTATTTATGTTATTGTATCATGCACATACACGCACACTATAAATGAGAAACAGCTTTTTTCTAGAAAGTGTATATATTCTATAAAAAGAAATGCTGAAACGTGATCAGGAAAACTATCGGAACCAACAAATCATCGGTATAGAATGACACGCAAGGGAGAGAAGTTGTAGAATACCCTGTTGCCAATAATCTCAAGTATTCGAAAGTACAATGACTTTGTACTCGTGACGGTAACATATGGTTAAAAGAATAACTTTTTCTTTTATAACATAATATATGCATCGCGATTACAAATTTTTCACATCATTAAATCCGAAAATAAACAGACTTAAGCCAAGAATTGAAAGATATAAATAAATTTTTAACAATATTGTTTAAAAAAAGGTAAAATAAAATTCTTCTTGTATACGATGGGAATATTTATAGGAAGAGGCTCTTCCTATTATGCACTTCCCATATGACGTAACATTTTACGTCACGGGTAAGATCGACGTTCCGGTAGTTGGAGTAACGAATTATACATCTAATCTAATTGTAACGTCCCACCGTCGAGGCAGATCTCCTCGTTGCGATAATATAGCGATTCATCTAAGTAAGTCAGAGAAAGTATCTCTTTTCTCGATAATTATACCAACGTGCGCTGGAAAAATATATCCGATGCGATGAGGGCAACGTTTTCGTGAGAAACCGCATTACGATGCGTCGCGTGCGCGGTTCACACAATCGACGAGCGAAAAGTCGAGCATTTTATTTAAAAAACGGGTCTTTTATTCGAATTTTAAGACGCGATCAAAATTTACGTGCCCGCACACTCACCTTTCTCGCGGCTCTAGCTGCCTCCTGTTTGCAATTTTCGCTGAAATTCATATTAAGATCGATGTACAAATGATTGTTGTTCAAGAGTAGCGCGGGCGGCTCCATCGGTGGTGGATTCGCTTCCTTTTTGTGCCTCAAGCGCCTTTCGGTTCTCTCTTGCCGCGTACGCAGCACAAGCATCACATTTCGATCCAGCATATTTAATCCGATCGAGAATCAATCGGGAACTCGAGAAAATTACTTCCTCAGTTTATAATGTCCGATCAGATTTTCCGTAACACTGCACTACGGATTTAACACTACATAAGAGTTAACGATGCAACACGGTATGTTTATCATGAGATCGAAACTTTACAAGAAGTAGCGAAGGACAGGAGTATTAGCTTAACAAAAATGTTCCTCGTTTTACGTTATCGCGACACATACGGATATTATAGTGTCCCAATTTGCAATCGCGATGTACTTGGAGATAAGCGCTGTTTTCTCGTCTAATTGCACGTTCAACCAAAGCCAAAAAGAGAATTTCTCAAAGTTCCGACGATTATGCGGCGATCGGGAAAGAATTCGTGAACAGGCCGTAAAGGAACGATAGTAACGAACAGTGTGTGCCGGATGAGTGCAAAGTCCCAGCATTTATTGGATTAGCCCGGACGTTATCGTCTACCATGTTATCGGCGCGAGCGAGGCGCCTATAAAAAAAATGCTAGGCGCCTCGCATACATGATCGTATTCTGATGCGTGCGAAGTAAAGGAAGAAGAAGACGCCTACAATGATTACGATGAAGAGGGAAATCCGCGCACGCGACTGGAACCACGATTCCGCAGAGAGTCAATGACCTCCAAAAAGTTCTAGGCACGAAACGAATTTTTGAATTTGTCTAGAAACGATGAATTTTTCTTCGAGCTTCAATTCGTTTATACTAAAATCTTCATCACCGTTACTATCAATATCGTATAATTAATATCGCAAGATTTGCAATATTAATACACAATATACGCTTATATGTTAATTATTTTTGTTTAACAAAGAATTTATAATTTAAACTGTGTGAGAGAAGAAAGGAAACACGCTGCATTTCTGGTACACGCGATATCGATTGCTCTTTCGTCTCTGTATCGGTTAGTCAGGTAGATTGCGTGTTTGGAATAAGAAACTCGATGATGAAAACGGTCCAATACACGAAATTAAAAATATTATCGTTGCATTATCGCTCGTCGACTAGTTTATCGCCGATTATACACGAAGTTTCGTCACTCTTCTTTCTAGAAACATCGAAAGTACGTCAATAGGATTATTTTCGTTGCAGCTTTCTCGTTTCACAGAAGCAGAGGGGAGCGCAAAGGGCGATCTCTCGTATGATGAAAATAACAACGTTACGGGGAACATAGTTGAACCTGTTTACATCCGACGAGAAACAAGCCTGGTTCCGCGGTTTTACCACTGATATTCTTTCCATGTAAATCCTCGTAATCGAGTTACACCGATCTTGTGATACGATTACGTGTACGCATCGATAGATATGTTGTCCTTCGGTAGCCATTTTGAGAGAGAAATATAATACACATTGGTACGACAAAGTTTATAAAGTGATATTGAATGCCACATATACATATATTGCATATCACAAGCAGCGATTCGATTAAATATACATATATTATATTGCAATAAGATATACAATAATTTACGATACATCTCGATCATACCCAGTGCGTGCGACCAGAGATGAACCAAATCGATATCATTGCGATAAATATACATGGAAGACATCGAGGATAAAAAGAGGGAAACGATGTCAAGCGATATCTATATTCGGAATGAGACGGAAAGTCGTATGTAACGTTACATCAGCCTAAATTAGAAACATAAAATAATCTCCATCTATTTAGACGCGTACAAATGAATGTAATGATAACTGGTTATAAGAATGAGATAAACATTATACAATATTTCACGCCTGCTGGCTGGCGCCAAGAGGCCGATTATTTTGATTCAGAGATTCACGACTATCACTTTATTCACACGTATAGAAATAATTAAAAATAAATTTTATTTTAACTATCATATTCTCTCTCCTCTCTCTCTCTCTCTCTCTCTCTCTACATATATAATTCTGATATATAGTTACATATATATATATATAGTTTTGATGAAACAAAGATAGTATCTTTTCTACAGCAATGATTAAAAGAAAACAATGATCTATAAATCTATTAATTTTCCCTTTAAAAGAAATTCTCATACATAAGAATTCAAATAATTTATATTCGAGGATTGATTTATTTAATCTCGAGATATGTTATTTATATATATTTGAGATAAATTCGAAAATTGCACATCATTAGACGTGAACTTAAAAAAAGATTGAAGAATTTAATCTAACGTGATTAAATATTGACTTGTGTTGACCACTGACATCTTTAATCTTTATTACGGTCGATATAGAGAAGCGGTAATGATATTCACCGAAAAGACAAATTCTACATCTACGTAATGCAACTGCAATATGATGTGTTCCAATATCCTACATATTATCATAATAATTATTAATACAAATGAAACTTGTATGCACTCTATATAGCAAAACGTCTAAAAGATCGAATTACTATATTTTTATTTTCATAATGCAAACCCAATAAATGTCCATACAATTATATCTTTTAAATGTAAAAATAAATATAAAAGTAAATTCTATATAAGTATTTTAGAAATTATAACTTCTATATATATTCATTGATTAGTTCATTTTTTATCTCTATAAAATCAAAAAAAATATCTTTTCTATATAATATATAAACAGTCAATATCATGCGATATCCGAATTATAGACTTTATCTTGCATAACAGAACTATTTTTACTTCACCATGTTAATTTCAAGAATCAGCGTGACCTTTATCCATCGTTTAACGTAAGTCGTTTCGTGCCAATGCGATACAGATAAAAATTGTCGCCACTTGTTCCATTCGCCTAATTGCTCGATAAAAATTTGTTTTGAAAGACAGAAGTCGTCAAAATTACATACATATCAAAAACATATAAGTTGAAGTTGAAGGTGAAAGGCTGATGAAATTGTAAGAGGATACTAATAAGAAAGATTAGAAAGAAAAAAAACAGTAATCAAAAAGTCATAAATTTCTATCAATTAATTATAATTGATTGTTTTGTAAACAATATCTCAAGGAAAAAGAGAATTCTTATTTCAATTATACAAAAATTTACGAGAGGGAGAAAGAGAAAGAGATAACGAAGTATATTCAATATATTATTCGATTAAATGTTATATTATGTATACTCATAGAGACAATTGCTAAATGCGCTTATGTGGTAGATTATCAATGGATTACAATAAGTGTTTTATTTTTAGGAACGGTATATGCACCGTCATGTAGTAAAGCAGGTAAGCCAAGCTTACGAGAAAACCAAATGGCACAAAAGTAATTACTAATTAAGATTAATACAGATATCCGTAATAAATAGAGCCAAGCAATATTATTGGAATAAAAAATGTTTTTGATTGAAAATTAAATTATATTTGACTCGATTAAAAATAAATAAAGGTAATATATGAAATATATAGCGATTATATTCAGATCGCAATCTTATAAAATGATAGACAACCTTAATCACACAATTGTGACAGAATATTACGCATGAATCACGGGATCATGAAACAACGATGTACGCAATGAAAACGCACAATAGTGAATTGTATTCAATACTGAAGAAATGATAAAGATAAGCAATTATATATCGGCAAAATATTTGTTAAGCTCACTTTTTCAATAGATATCTCAATGATTCATTCAGGGATCGCTTTGCGCGGCTTTTAATTCAAAATTAAAGTACTACGTCATAAAATGTAATTATAATTTTTATGTAAATAATTATATTAAGTATTTAATTTTGGTAAACAGGCATACTTAGCAGCATTTTTATCTGATCGCTCGCAAAGCTTTAATAAAAAAAAAAATAATTCGAGGTCGATGTTATTTTCGTTTTCTAAAAATCGCTCGAGTACAGATCAATGCTGAAGGCGTTCGCCAAAGATGTCCCAGTTGCATAGTGCTGTTTCGCAGTTCGCAGAAACTATCTTACATTTTACATGCGAAGTTTTACGACCGATCCCCCCATTTTGCGGATCTGCAGTCAGTTCTATCAATACGTGAAACGGTTTTTCACTGCCTACCTATTTTATCGTAACAAAATGCTACATTATATAACATTTTAATAAAAAACTATATACTTTCTCTAAGAATAATGAAAAGTAATAAAAATTTATAAATTAAATAGTACTAGATTAGTTAAATCTCTTATGCATATTTCGTCTGTAAAGAAATTTATCAATGATATATAAAATTATATTTTGATGAACGATTGGTAACTTGATCATTAAAAATAAATTTGTTTGATAAATAACATATTAATTAAAAAGACAAAACGAATGATATGAAAAGGCAGTTAATATTTTACATGTAATGAAATCGACGGGCTGCGTCTTCGAAGGATTGCATGATGGAATTACGTAGCATATTTTTAGAAACAGTTCGATCAAATGCATCTTTACCGCATTGAAATAACCACGAATCTGATCGAATATCATCGTCGTATCATAAAATGAAACACAATCGTTCAGCTCATGATGCTTAATCCCGAGAAAAAAATGTATGCGGTAAGATAGAATAACTCCGATTCAAATGTAGGTGTTGAGATTGCGGTTATTTATCTATACTGCAAAAGAGAGTTTGATGACAGAAAAAAAGATTTATCGAATATCTTGATGATTGTAAATTAAAATATTAATACTGAATTATAAATTATATATATAAAAAAACCAATAGACATCAATGATTGTTGATTTTTATTACATTTTATAAATAAAAAAAATTTATGTGGATTCGTTTTTTTATTTCACATATGCGTGGAGATCACAAGAGATCTTCGTATTATTCTCTCACGATTTGGTAGCAATCTCGAACAGATTAGATAAACCGAACTTTTAGAGGAGATTATCGGAGCTTCTTGTATTGCAACGATAAATTCCCTCGCGATAATAACGAAGGCGACACCAAGCATTTTCATTATACTTTCCAAGAAAATCTAACAAAAAATGATTGAACAAGCAAAATATTTGGTCAACAATCACAATCGTGAGATAACGAGCAATATATCAACGTTTGATAAAATTTTCTTTCTGCTTTCATTGATACCTGGGACAAATTCATTGCTCAAACTGAATAATCAAAATTTTAACAAGCACCCGGTAGAAACCATCGATACTTGGATGAAGTAAAGAATACGCTTAGATTATTACATATCACCTGCGTGTATATATATATATATATATATATACATATATATATATATATATATATTCCTATCAAAAACATTGACGCATCATTGAATTATCGAGATTCATATCTCATGAACTTTATATCCCAGGTAATCGACGAATCGATAACTAAATACAATGTGTTCTGAAAATAATATATGAATAGTAAACCCGAGTGTGTAACATTTGCGATACAAAAAGATAAAATACAAGAAATTTTTCGTTTCCTGATCGCTCGGCCTTCACTCCGCTGATTTACCGCTTGTTTTCATACAGCGGCACGAAACGATAATTTTATTCGAGGATCAAGAAAGCGATCAATCACTCGCTTCGCGATCTCTCCTGTCGTTGACACTGTTTCTATCTAATCTAACGGAAAAAGAAAGGAAAGGCACAAAAAAAGACTCGCTTAATAAATGCACGAGTAATCGCATGGTGATTCGAATAAAAATTATTAAAAACTTGCCGATATTTACCCTGCGCGTCATAGATAGCGGCAATTGCGCGTCGAGTTTAGCGCATCGCGAATTTCATTGTCGATATAAAGACGAAAAAGATTCGATTGTCGAATTCCCCACGTCGTACGATCGCGTAAGTAACGCTCTGGTCGCGCGTTGACACGAGCGTTCCGCACAAACCGGCTGCCGCCATTCGATTTTTGAAAATCGGCGCGCCAAGCAGACAGCACGCGCCGGTATAACGCGCGATATTTCGACGTGCGAAATCGAAAAGAAAAGAATGAATTGATGGATGACACTCACCATTTGACGAGCGGGAGGATTCTGTAGGATTCCCCGATACTCTCGTAGCTGAACGGACTCGTATCGTAGCTTCTTCTTCAGATGCGAACGGGAACGTCTTACGACCGATATCAGCACAGCTGGGCCCATCCGGCCATCTTGCCGTATATCAAAATGTATACTACGGTGCGCGGGCGTATTTTGCCATACGTTCTCCTTCCTTCCTTCCTCGCAGTCACTGTCAGCAATTGCGTAACTTGCGCTCCCCTCTTTTCGCACTCTTGTACTCAGGGAATTGTCTCTCTCTCTTCTCCCTCGCCCGTACCTTGCGAGAGAGGCATTTCGTCGTGAAAGGTTTATCGATCGGTATAGTTTCACATTTTAATTCGCGTCGTGCTCGCGGGGGACGCCACTGTACAGTGAGATGAAATGTTATATGCCTATCTTCATTTAAATAACAATTTTGCGCGCTAAATAACGGTTTCAACATTTCAAGCAGGTTTTGTACCAGTTTTTACGTACTTGTCGTATTGACATTGCAATATATAAACATTTCTAAAGAAACTAGTGGTGTATTCTTGTGTTCTAACAGTTTGCAGTCGATTTATATATAAGATCACCAAAGCAAGTGAGTATTTCCTCTATCTTGTATGATTTTTGCTTAATCAATTTTATGATTTCATCATGAGCGATTCAATCCAAAATCAAACATTTGTTAAATCGACTCTGCATTTGTAATGCATATATTTACAGATTCGTTAATTTATTTAACTGGTATAAAATAGATACAATGTAGTAAAAAGAGATATCTTCTATTGACATATTATTTACACAATGTTTGATATTTACATTCTTTATAAAATGTGCGAAGAGAGTTTGTTAACAAATTAGTTAACTACTACTCCCGAACCAATCTGAGCCCATTGCACCGAAAAACGCGGCCGCGCCGGATTTTATCGTTGCACTGGTCGAATCATTTCTTGTGTTCTCTTTTGTCGTTACTTTCTTGCGCTGTAAATACATATTAATATAAATATATATATTAATTTAAAAAATTAATTATTGCACATCCTCACACAAATGTATTAGTATCATCCATTAATTTATAGAAAATTCATAGTTCATTAAATCTTATTAGAAATCAATCTAGTAGAATGTTATTCTACTTATACATTTCCCGGTCTTTTGATATATGATGTGTTTTATATTAAAATATTTTAAAATCAAAATAATCTCTTTTAATCAGCAAAATATAAAAGAATAAATAAAATTATAGAGCTAAGTTAATCCAAAATCAATTAGTCACATTAATTCATAATAATCACGACATGCAAGATTGCTTTGCCGGCTTACCAAATTTACATTCGTGATATCTTTATCTCATTTAAAGAGCATACACACAATCTAGGGCAGTAGGTATATATATATTTGTAGAAAATGCTTAATAAGTATATTGTTTCACACGTTTGGAAATATTATTATTAATTGTATAACTGAAAGGAGATATAAGGATATCCGATACACACCTGTGCTTTATCTGGAATCATTACTGATATAACTGGCAAATTCCTTGTAGGAGCAGTTACTGTTAGTGGTGGGAACCATGGTGCTCCCGTACACACTGCAAGTATTGCAGGTGGTTCGTTTTTCCCTCCATCAATACTTGCATGTTCATTGCGTGCACCCAAAGTCGAATGTAATTGCTCTAAATGAGATACCAAATTGCCAAATATCAACTAAAAAATAGATAAAGTAAATCTTATTATCATTGCATGAAAGTTCTCCATCTTTTTCAATCATATACTAACCAAAGATCTTTGAACGGATTTTCTGATATTAATGTGAATAAATGGATTGAAAACATCATAGTCGAATGGATCTATCTTTGTAAGCACTGCATCGCAAGTTTTGTTTGATAATTCATTGAGAATTTTGTTTTCACGTGGCACCATAAGCAATGTACAATATTTTATATCATATAATATTTGAAATGCTTGTTTCTGCCTGAGGTCTATATCTTGCAATGAGTTAAGATAATAATTAAACAATTCTGTAATTATTCTTTCTATAATTTGCTGCAGTACCTTCCTAAAATTAAAAAAAAAAATAGAATATACTATGACAGATAAAATCTCTCGATCCCTCTTAGTGTTATATCATTTACATACTTTGGAAGTGTATGAGGTATAATCTTATTTAAATCTTTGCAGATAACTGTTAAGAATTTTTGCAAAGGTATCGATGGTTGATACGGTACCAAAATTTCAGATTTTATTTGCTTTCCTTCCCCAGATTCTTCCTCAATAGTGACTTTTTCCCACTCTGATACAATCCAATGAACGCGCAACCCATCGATTGGCTCTTTTAATATATATTTTTTCATATATTCGGGTATTTTAGTTTTATATATGTCAGCCCAAATGGACCATATGCAAGTACTTTCTTCCTTCAGATTTTCACAAATAGTTTGCCATTTAACGTTAGTGATAGTAAGCCCAGATGCTTTTGATGATGTAAAACACTTGTTTAAATTTGGACATAAAGTAGTTAACGCAAAGAGAAATCTTGCCAATACAATAGCGTTTATATCGCGTTGACCATGTTCGGGTTTTTCATTAACACACGTGTTCTTTATAAACTGTACAAGACTTTCAATATTTTCGGTGCTGATTACTTGTAAATGTTCTTGGACTTCATTACGATCACAAAATGAATTTGCAATTAAAGATATGTTCGCCGAAAGTAAACTATCTTTAAGCGTTATTATTCGTTCAGTCTCATATAAATAATGCTCGAGATCAGACAATAATGTGTACAGCTTTTCATCCAATCTTTCGCATAATTTGATTACATTTGGGGAATATCCTTTAGCTTTCATCAGCAAGGATCTCTTGTTATCTAATCCTCCATTTTTTGTAAGCTTTTGTGGAATGTCATTGGGGGAATCTTTCCACACAAACCATCTTAAATCATGTTCTGGAAATTCAAATTTGTCATACGCTACTTTTTCGAGTAATTCTATTATACCGGATTTTAAATCAGCTAGCGCATCTGCCCATTTATCCATTATAATACCTGTTAACAGATCACCATTAATTACCAATGCAAAATTTTTATCTTGTATATACAGAGAGACGTGCAATTACATTTTGCTCGTTTAGTTATGATAGGCTGGAAGAATTCCATCCAAAAACTTATTCTGGGTAAAGAGAGCTCTTCCCATATGGAATTCCAATTTTCAGGTAGATTCACATTGATAGCCTCTTCCCGGACATTATATAGGCCTTTGATAGAAACTATTAAATCTAATAATTTGGTGACTTCAAAATTAGAAAATTCATTGACCCATTCCAACCAAGACTTAACACTGTCTTGAAGAATTGATAAAGGAAAGTTGTTTGGTACATCCTGAACAAATGGTTTATGATTTTTGGTAACGGATGGTAGAAATTCCTCAAGTAAATCTTGATTTAAATCAAGTTGTGATAACAAGTAATATGCTTCTTTATCTTTTATGTCCGTTATAAATTGTAAGACTAAACCGCTCGGCGCATTATCTGCATCTATAATTATATATAAAATATTTCAAAATAAAATTTCGCATGTTTGTAATTCTAAAATGGATTATATACTTACGTATAAAACATGAATATATTAAGTGAACAGTTTGTATAAGTATCCTCATACATAACTTCAACTTGTTCTTGACACTATCATGACTCTCTTCTTTAATGATAGATTCAATTGCACGATTTCTTGTGGATATTAATTTTTCTAAAAGATCCACAAACGAAGATTCATTTAAGAACACAAGAGACGCTAAGCAATTTGCAGCATTCTGTAAGACAAATATATTATTAATATAGCTAATATTTAAATATTACAAATATTTTCTATAATTTGAATACCAACAATGGTTGAAACATCTAATGACTGTAATCTGTTGTTACATTCATTAGATATAATGTTCTTGAATTGAGTAATAACATCCCACTGCTTCGAAACAATAGGGTATTTATGTGCCAGTTCTGTATTCCCTACTTCAAATATTAAACTATAATTAATATGTTGTGCTATTATGTATAATTGTGTAGCAAGTAGCAAATCTTGATCTTCGATACTCGTCCAAATATACTGTGGAATGTCCATTAGAATTTTGATTTGGATAATAATGGAATCGGAGACATGCCCTCTTCTACAAGAAATTATAATATAGATTTAGCATGGATATAAATTTTTTGTTTTTACTTTCATGCAGATAATATATACAGTTATGATGATATATCTTAAAAAGGACACCTGTCTAGTTTATCTCCAATTGGTTCTGTTTTAAAACCGATTAAATATTTTTTTTGCAGTTCTCTAAAATTATCCTCTATATTAGCGATTCTTGCGGTAACTTGTTCGGATGTTATCTTCATTTTTCCAATTGTGTCAGCAGCCAATATTAGGTCCCGATATCTTTCTCTGAAAGTCATTTATATAAATCACAAAAGTTTTGAAAACCTTGATGTAATCTTATAGTTTCAAAAGATATATACTCTAATGTAAATTTTAAAATGACAAAAAGACACACGCACACATAAGTTGATACGCATTTTAATAAGATGTAGTATATATTTTAGCTAATGATTTCTGAAATAAATTTTATGATACAAGTGTTAGATAGAGTTCCACGAACAAGTCTTACCCGACTAACGTTCGTAATTCTATCTTCTTTCTATCACTTTCCAATTGAATTTTTTTCTGAATCTCTTCGATCTCTTTAATGGTATGCTCCTGGAATAACTTATTAATGTCTAAATCCAAATAATTTGTTGTTGTCATGTTTTTGACAGTTTGTACACCCTTTTATTTTTCCTTTGGAATTCGAAAGATCCTACGTAGATCCTATATCATAGAGGTTAGACTGTTGAAATGTCGCATAAATTATAGTAGTTATTGTCAAGCGATAAAACAGATATAGTAGTCGGTATGACTGTCACCTGCTTTATCACGCGAGAATAACATTTCCATTGACTCGAAATGTCCCTGTAGTTGGAAACGCCTGCACCTGCAGTTACCAGGTTACCACACCTGTATGTACATATCTCTCTTTTTGGAATGTTAATGTACATTTCGAAAATGCTTATCAGGGGAATGTGATAACGTCGACTATGGTTAATCGCGTCGACGACATCATCCAAGACTGGGATAATGGCAACGGAAGAACGCTAATATAACCGATCATCGAATTGCCGCGGGGACGAGAACGCACGCGCGACGCAACCCGGAGCATGGTGGTGCACTATGGTATGCGCGGCGGTTCTTTATTACAAAAAAAAAAAAGAAAAAACCTTGCGGTGGATTTGTTTTACGTCGCGAGCCTCGCAGGCACGGAAAGGTTATGCCGTTTTTAGCGTCAGCGAAACGTGACTGATCCGCGGCGCCTCCTCGAAGATGCAACTCGGATCTTTGGCGTTCTTTCGTGGGCGGAGAATTGTAGCGAGCAGTGACCGTAGGCGATGAAATTTTTAATTGTCCGATGACATTCTCCTAGCAAGAGAGAAAGAGAGAGAGAGAAAGAGAACCATTACGGACAGGTGTGTCTTCGTTCGGATGTGTGCACCGCCCCACCAGCTCGGCGCGAGTTCCTCGCGGTCTCCGGTTTCATCGGTCGCGATTTCGTCGGCGAAACGTGTAAATGGGCGCCACGGACTGAAAACAATCTAATCCCGGGAACCTGATGACTGTCGACAATACGGGTGAGTATTTCTCCCTTTTATTCCCGCTAACTTGAGAGAAACGAAGGATTTCTCGCGCGATTAACTCTTGTAATTCACGCAAGTTCCGTCTCGACGGAGACACCGCAAAGTCGATTCGCTACTTCTTTTTTTCTGAAATTAGAACATTTGCACAAGAACTCACGTCGCGTTGCTATTTCAGCAAAGTGCCCTGCAGGGGAAACTTAGAGCATTTAGTCAAGAATGTAGGGCTTTATATATAGATAAGGTTATATTCAAGTGATAAATTATCTATGCTATGGCTTGAAATCCTTCATTCTTTTTTTAGTAATATATATGTGCATATTTTAAAAGGAACTGTTATAGCATTATACAGTAGATTATAATGCAAAGAAATATGTAAATATTTCTTTGTAATAATATATTCATATAGAATATGTATATGTATTTAGATATATACAGTTTGAAAAAAATATATTTAAAAAAAATTTATTTTTTATGAATTGATGTATATATATTAATGTTTTCTGAATACAGATCACCATAAGGCAAAAATGAATACCTCTTTAACGTCACTTCAACCAAATAGTCAAAGCTTAGAAAGGCAAAAACATGTCAAAACAACGACGGAAAGACTTTATAATAGTCTTACCAAGAAGAGGTACGTTCCTATTAGTATTAGTCACTAGTGTTAGTCATGATAGTTGTGATTTGGTATAGTATATTCATGATCTCTTATATTTAGATTGATAGATTGGAATTAAAATAATTTCCAATTCATATTTTCAGAAAAGATCCAAAGCAAACAAGTGTTCAAAGAATGTGGATAAATTATGAAGACTGCAAAGATGACTTTTGGGCTGCCATTAGGTCTAATTATGATTATATTATGGATACTAATTTAATCGATACTTGCAAGGTAAGGTATCTCAAAATTTTGTGCGAATGTATAGTATAAAAATCTAAATTTTGAATGTAATACACAAAAAATCTTATTTTGATATTTTAGGAAGCAAATGGTGAATTAATATGGGATGAAACAGATGTGTCGACACAATCTTGGAATTTGAAGGAAGTCAGTAGCCAATTTTCAGAGCTTTACTCATGGTTAAGAATTCTCCAAGAATTGGTCTATTCTAAGGAAGAAAATCTTTTAGACAAAAGCCTGCGTGCGGTATGTATCAATTTTGTTACATTTAAAATATAAGAAAAAAATTTGTAAAAATATAATTTCTTAAATTAAATAAGCTCATTATCTTTTTAATTAGGCTCATATGGAAGAGCTACGACGCAAGGCGTACAGACGCAAATTGTTCAATGAGCAAGCAGAAAAATTAATTTCTCGCGCCCCTGCTTTAAAAGACGAAGTGGCATGGCGTGTAGATCACTTGAATGCAAAATGGGAATTAGTCGAACAAATTATGGCGCCCATAGACCGACCTGTATCTAGTCAACAAGATATATCAGCAGGTGATGAATTATTACTTTTTGAAAAATCACATTCTTTTCCCACCTGGCTTATTATTAATATACACGTAACCAATTTGTATTAATAGATTTTGAACGTGAAGTAAAATGTCTAAGAAAATGGTTACGAGGAATGGAATCGCGTCTTCAACCTTTAAGCTTCCACATCAATTGGACTCTACCCGAACTGGAAGAAAAAGCGATAGAGCATATGGTAAGTAGCACACATTGTTTTCTATTATTTTATTTATATAATAGAGGTTTCCATATAATTTGTAAGAAGTTTTCCTACTTTTTTATTTCTTGACAAATTTCACCATGTGTATATATTTACTGGTGATATGCCAGAACGCCATTTTGTATCTTCCCTTTTTTCCATTATATTTTGTTGTGAAAAGATTTCTCTTATAAAAAAGAATATTTTTATATGGAAGCATAAATAGCCCATATTGCTATTCCAATGTGTCTATTTTTATTAGATTTAAAGAATAAGTGAATAATATAAATATCTGAAGGAGTAGTGTAAGAGAGAGAATTATTGTTATTTTACAAAAGGCAAATGTTTTTATAGCTTTCTTTGAATAATATTTCTGCTAGCGTTTGTTTACGTTCTTGTCATTTTTAATAAATAAACTGGATAGCATTAAACGCACGAACCGGAAGAAGGCATAAATGTATGAATGATTCAGCTTCAGTGTCTCGTTCATAATCGATTTAGTTGTTAATACCAAAACGAGATGGCTAGGAAGCAGCACGATTCGGTGGAATACGTGCTAAGAATAAATGCGTTGGTCGAACACGTGTGTATCAGCCTGAATTTATGCTACTTCGCCAACGACCGACCAACGCAACGTTTAGGAACAACGGATGTGACGGCGTACGCAGCTAAGAGTGGGGAGAGAACAGCCGGCACGGCGGACCCACGTTTGTTGTTTTATTCCGAGCTCCGATCTTTGCCGAAGGCTCGCGTTCGGACGCAAACGACGCGCTTCGTTGAGCGCTGGAGAGACCAGCTGCCTACTGCCGGCTGCACGAGCCGACAGAGTTCGCCGTTCCACGGTCGTCGCCGGTGGACGGGCACGTTACAACGAACACGTTGATCCAAGGTTCCCTTCCTTCTCCTCTCTTCTTTCATCTTCCACCTACGTTTATCTCTTGGTCTTCTTCGCGTCTATTTTTTCCCTCTCTCTCTCTCTCTCTCTCTCTCTCCTCCCATTTGTCCATCTCGTTTTCCTTTTCTTTTCTTAGAGAACTTTGCTATATTTAAACGCAAATGGTGCGCCGTGTCTTTTGTGTTCGATTTGTGATATCGCGACTTCCCTCACGTAACATAGTGTAACATAACGTTAAGAAGCGAATAGAGTGACCATCGATATGTGCAACATGTAACTAAGCTTTTAGTACCGGCATTTCTCAACCGTCGTTCTCTTTTAAAAAAACGGCGGAGAAGGGTCACAATCGCAACGGGGTACGGTTGGATCAGCCAGACAAGTCTTCTCTTGCAACCTTTTCTCCCTTCGGGCCCAACCGGCCGCCCCTCTCGGTCCCTCTCCCGTCTCTCTTCGCCTCCTACTCGTTTTCCCATCCGTCCATTCGTCCGTCCTCGTCTAACCGAGACATACCTCGGCAACGCTCGGAGCTCGGCAACTCTTCGCGCGGTCCATTCGGCGTAGTTTAACCGCCGAACAACCGCCCTCGCATGACCCCGCGCGGCAACAGCGTGGCGAAGGAGTCATTCATGCGTCGTGACGAGTGCGACGAAACGAGTGCCGCGCGGAAGCGAGAGGATTCGAGAGAAGAAAAACGCGCGTAGTCCCGATCCGTCTCGTCTCGTCTCGTAGCTGGTCTGTGTCTCTGTGCCGACTGTGAAAGAAAAGAAAAAGAAAAAGAAGATACGCCTCGTCATCCAAGTTCGCAAGTGTTCGTAGTGGCGTTTATGATGCTGCGATGCTCGATCGCTTCGTCTCCTCTTCTCGCGGGTGCTATCTCGATCACATCCGCCTACATCTCGTTTTTACGCTGACATACGACAATGTGCCGCTTTTTTTCGTCGACGTAGTGGATATGCATTTTGGTAAGATTATCCGAAGAGAAAAAAAAAAAAACTTAATGCTTTTTAGTCTAATTGTAATCTTAGAAATCTTTCTGTAAAGAAATCTCGCTCAGATATCGAACGAATAGCTTCGCTATCGCCGACTCCGATTGTTGCTCGCAATACCATTGTTTCGAGGTTCGTGCGTGTATGTTATAAAAGTGCACGGTAAGATAAAGGAATTTAGAACGTGAAAGTCGGCGTTCCGAGTTCCGATCCGGAGAGAGACGCTACACATTTTGTGCCTGTGGCTAACTTGTTGCATTCATCTCAATATCTTATTGTTAGAGATATCGTTGCTAATCGAAATCGCGGACTCGCTCGTGCGTATTAATCTCTTTAGAATTTCTATTCGAGATAATACATCTATTCAAGCTAATTTCAACCATCCGCGATACCTTCGTGAAGCGCGGTTGAGATTAATCCCGTGATATTTGTCCCGTTATTATTACAACAAAGAGCATGACGAAACAATGAAGCAGTTACGGTGGATGCTGTCAACTTATCTGAGCAATGCATCTCCGATACGATAGCGTGCTTTGTCCTTCGGACGATTACATCATTATGTATTAGCGTGAAAGATAAAAAGGGGGATTATCATTCGGACAATTACGTGCGTCGGCATTTTACTCTCGATATTATTTCGATTTTCAACTGCGTATTCGTTAAAAGTAGATAGCTGTTATCGTCGAGATAAGACGATGTCAGAAAACTAGAAGCCGTACAAGTTTCGATCGATTACCCCTCGCGTATTTACCGTACCGTGATCATACATGTTGATTCTCGTCCGTGTCCCGATTTTGCTAACACTTGAGCTCCGGTCCACATATTATTTTCCGTTGCATTTGGTCATCGACACTCCGCATCGCATCACGGTGGATGCTCCGTTGAACGACATTCGTGGATGTTGAAGTCGGTCGTTCGAGGTCAAGCGAGTTCACGCGGAATTGTCCGTATAAAGAGAAAGTAGATCCTTGCGGAATTTTTATGCGCTCGGTCGTCCGGTAATTACGTTGATTACCGGCTCGTTGGTCATTAAAATTCAAAATTTTAATTTAATTGCCTACCGCACAAAAGAAGAGGGATATTGTATCATCTCATCTCTCCTTCTCTCTTTCTTTCTTCGACTTTCTATATTCATACATATACAATACATTTATCCACGTGTCGCGTGTCGATGCGCTGCCGAATATCTTATTTGCAAGTTATTTACCCGTCGTATGTTCGCTTAAAAGAGAAAGTCGGAAGAACATTAAAGTCGATTCGGCTATCCAGTTTATTTATCCAGTTTGTATATTGTTTATATATTTAAAACTATCCAGTGCGATGGAGGGAGAGAGAGAGAGAGAGAGCTCGGGGAAAATATGCGTAAAGCAGCTGGACAGTAGCCACTCGGCTTTTGAACCAGAGTATTTTTGGAAGCACACGGTCGCTCGTCACTCTGCGGAACTCCATGCTCGCGCGACATTAGAACGCGATTGCCCTCCTTCCGAAAGAAAAACGATCTCGTGGGATAGATTTTTCGCGTCCGAGCGACCGTAGCGAATTTTAAATAGATCGAGGCGAGAGAAAAGTCCAAGAGAGAGAAAGAGAGAGAGAGAGAGAGTCGCGGCGACAAGAGTCTCTTTCTATTCACCTTCTCTATTCCGTATAATATTGCACTGTTAATTTTATTAGCTATCTCTAATTGATAGGACAAGCGTACGATTAGATGAACGATTAAAATCGCCGCGATATCTCCTAATAGCTGTCTAATAATGTTTACATCGGGAATTAAACATTGTCGCACAATACGATATTTGTCGGAGATATAATTTTGCATTACACTTTGATGAGACTTTTATTTCTCAAATAATATATATGGTAGATAAATATTTTCGCCAATACATTTTTGGCCATTATTTTATATGCTGTTCAATTTATTTAACTCTGCATAATAATTGTAATGTGTCTGTAATTGTCTTAACAACGTATTATAAAAAGTATCTAATTTATAATTGCTTGTTATCTTTTTAACGACACGTCATAAAAATTGTTAACATTTAAGATAAGGGATTCGTGGACAAAAATAATGTCAACTTAATTCAAAATTCAAATGGCTACGTGCACGATAACGAGGCACACTTTACGAGCCTTATCGGCGATACGTAATTTGGCCACTTCGTAAGGGGGTAACTCTCGCGGTACGTCGTTATTTTCGCTCGTAAGATTTACGAGATGCTCGCGAAACCGCAAATCCGACCGTCGACAAAACCAAAGTTATTCTACCGTGGGGTACAGTGGGACAATTTCAATAAGAACACGGCGACGAGAAATGAGGCGAGGACGACCTGGATAACTCGGTTAGCAGCTGTGAGCGGAAGGTCTCGGACGTGAAATTATTCGTGCGTGTCCGCCTTTGTACGCAAAATCAAGGATCACATCCGCAATTGAGAAATATTACATTAAAATTCAATTTTCAAGTGATATTGGATTATAGTGGGATTAAATTACGTTTGCCCTAAGTATCGCCGGGCAAAAAGTGAAAATGTTCAGAGACGATTTTTCTCTCTAAGATTATATATCTTCCTTTATATGGAGACTAATATCGTAGACTATAATCATCTCTGAAATATGCATCGCTCACGCGATGCACGAGGATACTCGCGGTGGTCTGTCGTTCTTGCGTCACCATCACGCGCGCAGCAGCGTTGTAAGTGAAAGGGAATAGAAAATTTTTTAACCAATATTTTTTTACAATCCCCCCGCAAATGCGAGATTTGCGATTAAGTACGCGGTGCATAACATGTTGCGCGAAGTTAATGCATTTAAGTATGCATACATGCGCTCTGTGATTGTTGCGGGCTTGTTGCTCCGAACGAGAGATTGCTCTTAACGTGAAAAATCATTATTCTTCCGCGTAATTTGCGTTCTTTATTCTGTATATAGGAACGTGGAAGTATTTATCGGAGATTTAATTATCAAATTATTTAAATTGAGAAAGGATTTTTTAAATAAATTTTTTACTTCGAAAACTGATATAAACGACGTCGCAGGAAACCTTATGACGTATCGGAGCACATCTGGACGAGATAATGTAGCATGACGGTTGTATAAAAAAAGGAAGTCTTATAACGGCGATT